CTCTGCCCTCTCGTAACCCTATTATGTGCGATCGAGTATTTTGGGTACTCTATTTCTTTACTAGCTTTTACCCGCGACTCCGTTCGCCTGAAATTAAAAAAAAAGTGAGTAGCTTCCGTGTTCTTCCAGACTATGCTGTACGTTTATACCAAATTTCATTGAAATCCGTTCAGCTGTTTAGGATACACACTCTAACAAACATCCATCAATCTAAACTTTCGCAATTATAATATTATTATCAGTATGATTAAAAGTTTCTTTACTCTTTAAAAAATTACAATATTACTTACAAATAATATCACATTTAGTGACTTAAATTTAAATAAAAATGGCGAGTTTAATGTTCGCATCTTGATAGGTTTCTATTCTTGGTTGTGATGTTACTGGTTTAACGTGTTCCAGCAAACACAACATACTAACTGGTATCATTTTTATGGCACGAGAAGATCACCAAACCGCCATCGTTCTAATTGAAGACACTCGTATAATATTAGTTCTCGTACATCTTTAGTTTTTGCTCGCATGTTACGAGGCCTTTGAAATTAATAATATCCTCAGTATCTTTAATCTTTTAATGTTTTTTTAAACTGTACGAAGAACTAATTTTTGTTTTCCATTTAATCTTCATTTTAAATGGATTTAACGATAATGATTGATAATTTCTGTTTCTTTTTTTACTTAAATTGGTTTCTCATTTATGATGAGTTTCTTTTTGATGCTTCGATTCAATTATTTACATGCAATGGTTTGAGGGATACTACTTTCATTCTAGATAAACATCCGATACTGCTTTAAAACAACTACTTTAAGCGTCACACATATTTGTTTTCAACTTATCTTTGTCTTCAACTTTAAGCGTAACTTCTGTCTCTTCTCTGTGTTCTGTATCTTGTTTGTGTCATTCGTATTTCAGTACAATTTCGACATAAATAAATAGTAAATTATCGGTTTTCTTTTCATGAGTAATTTTTTCACGAATACATTATCTCATTTTACATACCTAGTCATGTTAATTTGCAGACTGACAACTTAATCGAGGATATGTCCGCCGTGAGCAGGTTGATGATGACCACTCAAGGAAACTTTGAATACAGTGAATTTTCATACCTAAATCGAGTTTCATGATTGTATTTTATTTATGGCAATTAAACGTATAGCTATAGCGGACAGCGGTTCTAACTTTTTTAAACATAAATTATTGTAGATTAATTTCAATGGAGAAACGCATTCTGTGGAAGGCATTCGGAAAGACCTATGTCTAGTCGTGGACAGACAAAGGCTGACGATGATGAAATCTAATATACTAATGAAATAAAGCGTAAACATACAGTTCTTTCTCTCTCTCTTTCAGTATTTAAAGCATATTTTTGAATAAAAAGCGCTACACTTACGTCACGCTTTAGGCTATAAACTTTCACGTTATTAAACTTACGGGGTAAATAAATTTTAAAAAAGCCTTTATGTGGAAAAGGGACTATAAACTCCAAGCTGCCAACATTAAGGAAGCAAGGTTATTATGGTAACAGTTATTTTGACATTTGCAATTGAGAATTTAACAAATGTAAGCAATAAAATAATTTCATGCGGATGAAGCAGCACGGGAACAGCTAGTTTTAAATAATTAAACTGGATCTATACGAAGACCCATCATTATCTGACTGTAATAGTCAATTGTTTGGTCTGGAATATGCATTTTATGCACCTCGTCGCATCATGATATATGTTCGTAAATTATTAACGAATTCCAATATTATAATTAGGCAAATGACCTTCAAGTCTTGAAATGAACCGCTCAACCTTTGCATGTACAGGTGTATAGTGCGCGTATAAATATGACAGTGTAATTTAGTAAAACCAGAAAACACGTCGACCAAGCCTCGTGACTTTGTAACATTTTTGACCGACTTCCCAAAAGAAGGAGGTACTCAATTCGTCTGTATGTTTTTTTTTTTTTTTTTTTTTTTTTTTTTTTTT